AGATTTATGCAAATCAGAGAAGGTTGTAACCAGTTGGTTGGCCCCCCTTGTCTGGTTTCTGGTATGTTGGACTGCCTCCGTTCAGAATCTCGTACCGTAAAATAAAACGGTCTCACACGGCTCGGCTTGGAAGTCAAGATGGCTTCTGAGCCTAATCGCAAATGAACCCCGATCGTCCGTCAGGGACGATTCCCTCAGGCCTGTGGCCTTAATTGCCAAGGAGGGTCCCGTCCCGGCTCGACCAAGGTGGCCATGCCACGGTCAGCCAATGCCGTCAACGACAGAAGACGCATGCCAGCCAAACGAGCCAGCAACGCCTGCTGAGTCGTATGTGGCTGATGAACCCCACCAGATTGGCCATTCTCCCAAAGCTGCAACAACACTGTCTGCAGCCCGCGCCGCAAGTTTCCGGACACACGGTAGTGCAGGAGCAACCGTGTGGGCCAACGCCAGCGTCGCGACGCCGTAGGAGATCCCGCTGCAGCAGTGAGTACAGTGCAAATTTTAAACCCTCGCATACACGCCACACTCACACGCCACAGAAAAGGGCAATAAATGTTTTAGAAAATGTGAATATTCCTGTTTTCCACAGTTCCACAGTTCAGGGGTCTCATGCTACTGAGTTAGTTACCCGAGAGTGTCTGGTCATGCCATAGTCACAAGGTAGAGTCAGATAGATTCGTCATTTGGCTTGTAACTGCTCTTATTCACCTTATGTTAAGTGACGTGTAAGTTACTTACTTACATATGCATCCTGCACATCTCTAGTGGTGCATAGAGCCAACGTTAAAGATTTCCATTTTGGGCGGCTGCTCGGTTTGGTCCCAGGTCAGATTCCTGTCGACTCCCTTTATTCCTTGTTGAAACTCCACCGCCATGAGCCTGTGGGTCTGCCTTTGCTGCGATGTCCTGCCGGCTTCCAATCCAGCGCTTGCTTGCAGATTTCGTTTCCACCCCTTCGTAGTGTGTGGCCGACTCACCTCCACTTACGTTCTCGAATTTCTGTTGATATCTGTTTCTGATGACATCGACGATGGAACGTAGCCTCCAAGATCCAGTTGTGAGGCCACCCGACTTGAATTATATACCGCAGGCATCGGTTGTTGAAAAACTGTAGCTTTAAAGTGTTCTCCGCTGATACACACCACGTATCGATGGCGTATAACAACGCAGACTACACGTTTGAATTGAAGATTCGAATGTTGGTACGTTGAATTACCTGGTTGGATCTCCATACATTTCGTAAACTCGCAAAAGCAGCCCAAGCCTTCTTGATTTGTGCTTGGTCCCGCCGTTTGACGCTATCTGGCTGCCAAGATATTGGAAACTGTCGACTTTGTCCACTGCTTGCCCCACTAGTAGTTGGAAGGGTTGTCCGTGGTGAATTTCAACGATTTGATTTTAGACGAGTAACAGATCAAAATATTTTGATTTTTTTTACAAACTCACTATTTCTGATTTTGTACAAAGCAATGATGAATTAAATTGTTTTTCCAACGCTGAAAATTTCTAGAAAAGTTGGAGGTTATGTGGCTTTCAGTCTTTTGATGCTCAAAAACGGGGTTTTAAGTTTTCATCTGAGGTTTCGGTCACATGTATTGTGCCTTTTTCAAAGAATCTGTGTGTTTTTTTTAAATACACCAAGAAATTTCTAGCAAAGGTTCAATTCAGACATAATAGCCATAAGCAGGTTAATTCAGCTGCAATTATATTCTAGTCTTACACGGTATAAGTTTAAGGTAATTCCTTCAAGATTCCAAAGATGGCCGTAATGATGGCTGATAAGCCCAGATTTTAATTTTTCTATAGCACAAATCTCGAAAGCTGTTCTGACACTGGTCATGAAATTGGAACTCCCTGTTTGCAGCACTGCAACCAACGTTAAGTTCCAATTTCCTTGTTGTATGCTTCATGAGAACTTGTATTAGTGCTCTTGAAATTTCGAGGAGTGAATGGGATCAATTTTCATATCATCATTATTGTATTAATCTGAAAATTTCGGACATTACTTGCTTCTCCGCAGCAAAAAAGCAAGTAGATATTTTAACTACTTGCAGTCACTAAAACTTTAATACTTTGTAGTTGGAGATGCTTAATGTTATCAGACTCAAAGTGGTCATTTTATACGGTAGATGAGGAGATGAAAGTATAGAGTTGACAGTGGCAGTGTGAACATTGTATAGAGAGTAGAAAGCGAGCAAAGGTCATTTTTGAGGAAGGTACGGATCGGGTTGATCATCCCGTCGAGTCTGTATACAAAGACGATTAGTTAAAGTACTAAATATTTTGACTTGTGAAATTGCGAAGTGTATTGCTTCAAAGGACGGAATCACCTTAAACAGTTGAATAAAATGGTTTCCGATCACTACGCCATTCAGATATATGATGCTTTCCCTTCTAGGAGACATTTTTTGTTTAATGTATAAACAAAACATTCTCAATCAAAATCAATGAATGTATTAAATGTTTCACTAATCTATACTCATCCAATTCTAGGGCTATCTAAATAAAAAGCCATGTTTCAAGCAGTGATGGCATAATCCTCACTCAAATGCTTTTTTTCGTTCTCAAGCGATCCCAATATCATGCGTGATATTTGAATAAAATGTCAAGCATGATATTGATTTTACAAGCTCCTTTGATATTGCGAGACTATTCACACCATATACACTCAGGTCTTTTTTTACACGGGGGATACGGTCCGTGTAAAAAAAAAACCGTGTAAAAAAAAACCTACGAGATTTTGATTTTTCGCATGCTTAAATGTTTTAAAAAAATCGGATTTTGATGCCATTTGTAATTAAAGCATGATATGGTCCATATAGACATATTTTAAAAATTTCTGTATTTACACCAAAAATTGTGATTTTTTTTTAAGTATGCCATTCGATTACAAATAGCTTGAAACGGATAACGTGATTGGAATCAAGTCGATAGGTTGTATCGTTGTCGAGAAATCGTTAAAAACGTACCGTGTAAATCGTGGAAAACCGTGTAAAAAAAACCGTGTAAAAAAAAACCGCGTAAAAAAAACCGTGTAAAAAAAGACTTCAGTGTATGTATAATTGTATAACGAGTTGACTAATCACAAAAATGATTCCATTGGCGTTGACGAGAGCTCTGTAACTATTTACACCTATGGAGAAATCTCATATGTAACTGTCAGTCTATGTGTGAAACATGGCGGACTTTTTCTTATTCTGTCACTCCAACGCAAAACCCCATAAGGAACTGTCAAAATGTGTGTGAAGAAACGTCACTTCGGAACTGGTGTCAAGGCGAATTGCACATCATTTTCTTAGAAAGAGAAAGCATAGTTTGCTATCTCACTTTACTCTTCACAGATGGCAGAAACGAAGTTGCTGCTGTCAGCAGTGATGGAAGTTTTGGTTTGTTTTCGGGTGTACAGCAAAAATCTTGAAGCTCAAACTCACCACAGTTTGGTGAGAATTGTAGCTGGTGAGTTTTGTTAGTATGATATCAGAGCAACCGTATCACAGCTTGGAATATTATCCACTGTTGTTTGCATGTTGATTTTTGTTTACGATACTCAAATGAGATTATGCTCATTGGTGAGATTTTATATTTTGTTGGGCTAATAACATTGGCTTTCCACATAATACGTAATACGTGTTTTTGATCATTTGGGATCAGTTATGTTATGTATACAGTATAGACCACCAAAAATTGGCCGTGAAAAAAAATATCAAAAAATAATGCAGGAGCCCGGTAATTTCGGTAATCTGGTCGGAAATGGAGTCCATGCGCTCCCGAATTCGTAGCAAAACAAATCCAATTGACATAACTTACTTTATCCATAGCATCCATTCTACTTGGATGTCTAAGCCTTTTTAGATTTGAATTTAAAATAATATTACGAACAGTGGCAAAATGACCGGTAAAGAACCCTAGTTCTGCCTTCAAATTTAATTTTTTTCATGGAAACCGTTCGCCGAACTCAATTACGACTCGATCAGCTCTCATCGGTTCACCTATTTCCCTGTAATAATTAACCAGTGTCACGTGAACAAGAAAACACAACTCGTCCAATTATCCCCACTCAACCAATTTAACCTTCGACAAATCTCCTGACGCCAATCCGTCTTTCCACATGGCATGGCGTGTAACATATACACTCACCTGACTTGCACACCCAAACCCGTTCTAGCGGGAAAAGCCTGTATCTCGAGTAACAACGCAAACAAAAAAAAAGGCACCATTTCTTGTTAGTTCCACACGTGGACCTCCCCAAAGGACCACAGAACAAATGAATGAACGGAATACGGCGCGACTCTCGGTGCAATCATTAGCGTCCACTTTGGACGGTTTCCGGTTCGCTAACTGCTGCTGCTGCAGCTGGCGAAACGTCAACTCGGATAATTCTTTCCGAATGTACTTTTCTCAATTTGCTGTTGCAGTGCAGTGCGAGGGATTGGCAGCCAGAGATGCATGTTTGCGGACGTTAATATTTCCGCGCGAAAGCATGACTGGAAAATGAATCCATTTGGGCTAGTTTGCATACATAGTAGTGGCAGAGTCGGAAGCAGGGTGTTCGGTTCACTCGTTTCCGGAGAATTGCACCAACCAAATTGCTAAAGAAGAAAATCCGATTTGGTTTCGTGCTGATTGTGAGTCTCTACTTTGTGGGAAAGCTTGTGACTTAGTTTGTTTGGGTTTGGTAAGAGCCATCGTTTTCCTTTCAGTTATCATTCAGGGATGGATTTTGGAGTGGTATCCCGAGGAGGAGAAAATAACTTATGAATACCTTATTCTGTTCTTGATACCAAAATTTGGTTTAGCCTGACATAATATCAAGAAGTTGCATGCGAAATACTATCTAAATAACAAAAAAATATATTTTGATTCCAAAAGAATACCTGTGTGGTAACGATTTGGTATTACATTCGCTTAATTTGGTATTGGAATGATTTTTTTTCCCTTGATTCGTTTTCGTTGATCTTGTTTTCCGTACTGAGTACCAATGCTACCAACGCCAAGCTCCCATACCTGAACCCTACCTATCGACCCATCAAACTTATGGACCGGGGACTAACGGCTTTTCTTCCTTTCGAAGGAAGGCGTGATCAGAGATTTTATGTCTCAGAAAATCCCGGTGACGCCGACTGGAATTGAACCAAGCCTTTTTGGGGTGAGAGGCAATCACGCTTACCACTACACCACCGGCGTCGCTAGTTGGTATTGGAATGAAATTGTGGGAACATTTTTTTCGGTACTATTCTTTAATATTTTACCTCTTATATCAGGCTAATCAATATGAATTTATCGGTATCGAGATATCCGTTCCTGATCGGGATACATTTTCTTAATCGTAATTGTCATAAGTTTGTTCTTCATACCTTGCTCTAAGATGACTTAGGCACAATCATCAGCATCAAGTGATAATCTGAAAGTAAATAGAGAAAAAGGCGAATGTTAGATGTTTTCATTTGGTAAAAATTAACTGAATTTGTTGAATAAAACAATCGAAAATGTTCGATTCCTCAGAGTTGCTTCCCGCTTTGAAGATTCCCCTTCAATCCAAACAGCCACCAAACACAACTCAAACCGATGCAAGGGCCAATATGTATTGCGGCAGAACGACAAACCACTTTGTCACATTTCACTTGAATGCAGCATATATTTTATTATAGCCTCAACTTTCCCGTACATAAACCAGATACTGGAACTTTTTTATTTCTCTTTCTTATCGGGTGGCACACTTTTCCTCACTTGATAGTTTTGTGTGTTTCGAAATCGTTTTTCCGCGTTCTGTTTTCCTTCAAATGCCTATTCTATTCATACCTGCACTGCCTACTGACTGGGACAAATGCGAAATGCTGGTGAGAGTCCGGAATTGAACCCCGTAAAACGGAACCACCAAAGGCGGTTCTTTCGGAAAACTTATCCGGGTTCGGGTGGGGCGGGAAACATTTGAGCCAGACAGGAAATACATTTGTATGTTTCGTTCGCTTGCTGGCACTGAACTGGTACCTATAAGCTTCTCGGTGTGTTACACTTTGCGAGCTGAGGCAAGGATTAGAAACATGGGGCAGCGGTTTTCGAAGAGGAAGCGGAAAATGCCAAAACTTTCGGGACGGGCGTGTGGATTATTTATGCTTTAATATTAGCGGCAAATGTGCGGGTAATGGGGTTAAAATGCAACCGTTTCTTGATAGGAAGTTCAAATTTAAACGTGAAATCATGTTTTGTTCTGACAAAAAGGCGAATAAGTTGCATTATCGTTGAACAAGAAATGATGGAAAATCGTGCGTATGTGATGGTAGAAAATCAAGTTGAGAATGTGCGGCGGAAATTCACTTTTAACTGGCAGAACCCCAAGGGAGCAAAGTGCGTGGCGATGTTGTGACACAGCACGCCTGTTCCGTTGCCAAGAAGCGTGCTTATTCACAGCATCGCCACGCACTTTGCTTTCTTGGAGTTCTGTCAGTTAATTGAAAATATCAATAATAGGCTGGTTTGCAATATAGTTGCAGACCATTCTCCAAAAATTAGAGCTAATTTTGGTTACGATCCCATGCTGTACTGATCATTTCAAGACCAACAATTGAAATGGCCTCAACTCCTTTTTGTAAACAAACCTTGTACGGCCATTTTCTCACAAACCGAAACCTACATTCGCAAACCTAAGCCACAATCGGGTAGAGGAGAAATTCCCCTACATGTTCATTATGTTGGTGTCACTTGGCGGACTTCGGTTCGCGAGAAAATGGCCTTACAAGGTTTGTTTACAAAATGGAGTTGAGGCCATTTCTATTGTTGGTCTTGATTTGAAAGAAAAGCGAACTTTTTGTTCTCTTCGCCCCTAGTCTTGCTACGCTTTAGATTGGAAATCACAACATAAAGTGATTTTCTTATTGCATGCGACTTATTAACACGTAAATTGACTGAAAACATTACAGTGTATACCACCAACACATGAGCCATTACAGATAGAAAATTGTGTTTCTTCAGCAAAGTTGCTTCAAATTAATTGTTATATAACTTTGAACAACATTGTACCGCTCTATCTCAAATAATAAAAAGGTTGAAATGTATAACTCTCACTCACATCAAAAGAATGGCTGAACCGGTTACAGCTATCCCCCCGAAGGACGCGTTACCCACTGAATTGCACCCACCGCTTTTTCTCGGCGGGGTTTCAACCAGTCGGTCTGATTTTGACGTAGGACTACGTCTTTGATTTCTATAGGGGGGTACACTTTTTGAAAATCAAAAATGGAACATGTAACAAAATTATGAAAGATTTGGAACGTTATTAACTCAGCTGCTCCTGAACCAATTTCAATTATTTTATCACCTATCGATCAGAAATATTTCTACGCATCTGTTAAATTTAAGACTTTATCATTTTTCAAAATGTCACTATTGAAAATTGCACGAATGTGCAACTGTTGCTATGATAATTAAAATTAACATCGATTGCCTGTGAATAGCGATTTCCCTAACACAGATTTCAAAGTTGAATTTTATCCGGACTCACCAAACGGTGTTTATTCAATCATCGCGTGGTGAGTGGTGGTGTACTTCAGAACACAACGAAAGGCTCCCAGCAAGCTAGTTATGAAGGCTGCCTCAACCGCTGATCGGATTCAGTCCAATCACCGTGTGTGGTGGTGTCGGGTTGTCTGCATCAGCAGCAGCAGTGCTTTCGGCGCGTGACGTTCAACATTGTTCTCCAGTACACAACAAAAGCCTGCCTGCAAACAGCGAGCAGCAGCCCACATGAGCATCCATAAAAGGAGGAAGAAGCTACCCGATCCTTAAGCGAGAGCGTGGCTTGGAAGATGGATCGATCGGTGTTGGCACATTTTTGCGCGTCGCTCAGGGCTCGATGTGTCCGGAGAATGTGTTCCAGGCGGGTCTTGATGACGCGGGAGAGAATTTTGAAGTCGACGTTGAGCAGGCTGATCGGACGGTATGCTCTCGCTGTTAAATCGCTACCTCTCTTTTTAACCAGTACGATAGTGCCATCGGCAAATTCCGAAGGTAGCTCATCCGTCATAGCTTCATTGGTGACGAAGTAGAGCTCTCGATAGATGATGTCGAAAGTTCGATGGTAAAACTCTACCGGTAGACCATCGATACCCGGCGATTTTCGTTTTTGTGACGTTCGGATGGCATTTTTCAATTCGTTGATGCTGATCTCTGCCACAAGAGCAGCGTTAGCTTCGTCGTTCTCGGGTACTGCTCTCTCGGTTTCAAACATCTCCTCCGCCGCATACAAGTCCTTGAAGTATCGGAGCATGTGCTGCTCGATCTTCAGGGAGCGCTCGCTCTGCAGCTCTGTGATGATTGTTTTTTTACGTCGTCTATCACCCAACTGGAAGGTGGATATGCTCTCTCCAGCTACGAATGTTTCATTGATCCGAATGAAATTTTGTGCGAAGCGCCGCTGCAGCGTGAGCATTTTCGCTTTCACGCTGTTGATAATCGTCAACATGCCTGGATTTTGGTAGTAGCCATCATACGCGAGCCTCAATTGCGCGTAGAGACGTTGGTATTCAGCGTTAAAGATGCTGAATGTTTCGCTTGACTTCCAGCGGAAAAACGATTTAATTTTTGGCTTCGCGTATGAGATCCACCATGCCATCCAGCTGGGGAAATTCCTCCGTTGGCGGGTCCAAAACTGCCACCGGACTTGGAAATCATCGATGTTTTCGGCAGTCAAAAGATGAGGATGGAGGGACCAGAATCCACGTCCTTGTTCACGACCGAGGTGCGGAAGGCAAATTCGCGCTGTAAGAGCTTTGTGGTCTGTGAACGAACATACGTGTGTGGCGGCACTTCGCAGATGCTCGCAAAGCCCATAGCTTACATACATGCGATCGAGCCTGGATGCCGCATTGTATGTGGGTGCGGGGGTGGTGGGATATAGCTTCAGCCACAGGTCTTGAAGCTGCAGCTGCCGTACGGTCGCTTGGAGCGCCGGACTTGTGTTTGAACTCGTGGAGTCGCTCGGGCAAAGCACGCAATTAAAATCGCCAGTGAGGACGACGTGTTGCGTGTTGTGCCGAAGGTAATATGCGATCGTGCCGTTGAAGAATCTCTCTCTTTCCGCACGACCAGCTGTCCCCGATGGCGCATAGATATTACAGAGAGTCGTGTTTTGCACCTTCAAAGCGATGAGGCAGCCATCCAGGCTCTTCTCCACATGCGAGAACTGAATGTGGTCTTTCAGCGCGATTGCCGTTCCTCGCCTTACCTGGTCCACATTGCAGACAATGTTGAAGCCAGGGAGAGAGAGCTGATCATTCTCCACCTCCTGGAGGAATACGATATCTAGCTCCAGCGTTCGTACAAAGGTCCGAAGAGAGTCAATTTTCGTTCCGTTCGTGATATTGTTGATGTTGATGGAGGCGAGGTTGTAACTGGAGAACTCAGCCATTACAACAGTTGGTTACTCCCATCTCGCTTGTCGTCGCAGTCGTTCTCCAACCGAGGCTTCTTGCCTGGTGGTCGATTGCGGAGATGCCTTCTTGAGCTGGACAGACGAATCTGTTTCGTTGCCATCGGACTTGCCACTAGCAGTTTTGCGATCCACACCGCTGCTAGCAGGGGACTGTTGACCTGTAGAGGGAATCAACGACCCGCTGTCCGATGGGGGAATCGAAGCCGAGGAAGAGGCTAGCGTGGGAAAATTCTGTTCGTTGCGCATCGGTGGTAACAATTTCTGTTGTCGGTGGGAAACTTGTTTCGGTGGCGGCATGGTAGCCGAGTTGACCGAGTTTGGTTCGAACCGGGGCCGTGCAGCTTGGTTCGAAGTTGTTTTGTTTTGATTCGCACTGGGAGCGATTTGGTTCGAGTGTGTGTTGGTTTGGTTCGGAGTATAGTCGGCTTGAGATGTTTTTTGTGAAGGCATCTGCTTTGCGGCATCGGCGTACGACTTTTGTACGAGCATTTTTTTTTATTCTGCACGCAAGTAGCCCCGATGTGGATGTATTCGCGGCAGTGTCGGCACGTTTGTAGCTGCCCGAAATACGATATATTCGTCACTTCACCGTCGATGGTGACCCACGACTCGATGTTACGATTCACTTTCATTTTCGCTATGCGGACACCGGTCGAAATACCAGGGAAATCGATATCGGCTCCACATCGTTGCTCGCGTACTGATATGACGTCACCATACCTTCCGAGAAAATCGGCGATTTTTTGGTCCGACACCTCGGACAAATCGAAGAGCCTCACCTCCACTGCTCCATCCTCCAGCGTGATCCTTAGCGGATACTTTTTTTCGTCGACGGTAATGTCGTGTTGGTTGTCATGTTCCTCGCAGATTTGTTGCGCCAACTCTAGGTCGACAACTTTCACGAACGAAACACCGAGAGCTCTGCTGTTCTGTATACGTAGCACTTCACCTTGTTTCAGACCAAGAACGGTCGC